GGGAGCACTGCCTGAGACAGCATACACAAGAAGGTTCTCGCAAATGCCACCTATATTTCCTGCTCGATGCCTCAGCAAGAGGGGATATCCTGGAGCCCGGACATCCAGGAATTTTTTGCAGTGTCGTGCCGGGGGCCTGATGATCAAGAAGGCTCACACAGAAGCCTCTGACCTGGCCTCTGACTCTGACCTGAGAAGAAAGCCCCTCTCTTTTTCCCGATATCTGCTAGGTTCACCCACAGATGTTCCTCCGTCACTACCATAGCCGCCATGGACCTGCCACTAGCAGAGGCGGCCTGCTTAGTAGCACGGAGAGCGAGATCCGTGGTGCGACGCACTCAGCTACCTCATCAGGAGAAAGGCCCTCGCCTTTATCCAGGTCTTTCAGCCGGTCAGCCTGATATGCTTGGAGCATCACCATCATGTGCAATGAAGCGCCAGCCTGACCTGCTGCGGCTGCGTATGCCCTGACATTCGAACGAGATGTCAAGGAGGGAGTCTTAAGAGAAGACATCTCACCCATAGAGAGATAGCTGGCCAGCGTCTCTCTAAAGGGGCATCTTCTCATAACCACCTGACATTCGAACGAGATGTCAAGGAGGGAGTCTTAAGAGAAGACATCTCACCCATAGAGAGATAGCTGGCCAGCGTCTCTCTAAAGGGGCATCTTCTCATAACCACTTTCGCGCATCGTCTCGATGTTGGCATAACTCGTATGCTGGAATCGATGGATGAATGAGGAAAAACGGCCTGTTCCATTCCTTCTCGATCTCTGTATGGAAACAGGAAGAAAGGAAGGCTCACCTGAGCTGGAGGGTTATGGCCAGAAGAATAACGTTCATCGAGATACCTCGCAACGTCACTTTCTTCGCCTGCTTCACGGCAAATAAAGCCTTGCCGTGGCGCGATCCATAACTTTCAAAAGCTCATCATACGCAGGGCAGGAGGATTGGGAAGGCTCAGCCTCAGCTTCTCTGCCCTCCTCAGACATTTCCTGCTTTTGCTGGGCTGAACCCAGCAGAGCACTGGTCCCTGGATCAGAAAATGTTAATGAAATAACATCATCCTCCATCGGCTCACTCTCGTCCACAGCCGACGAACGCGAGAGGGAAAACCCCTCTTCAAACTCATCGGCCAGATCCACCTGCAATCCCCACGAGCTCATTCTCCTTCGTGCCTCAGCAGCGGCGGGTCCTGAATCGTGGAAAGCAGATGGCTGCCCCTCTTTCCTCGAAAAGAGAGACAAACGAGAGTGGAGCTTTTTTCCTTGAAAAAAACGCTCGCAGTGCACGCCGATTGCCTCCTCGGAGGCATCGTGTGCGTGCTCTTCGCCTAGATCGCGTGTGTCATCAGATGTTAAACAACAACAACACGGATGCACACATCCTCTAAATGTTCTGCTAGTGCTCGCCATAATAATAGAATAGAGATCGCTCTTACCACGTTCAAATGCACGCTTTAAATAAAACAGTCAGTGAATACAAAGAAGAGAATGACATGTTCTCCCGGCGCCTAATTATACTAATAGTCGCACCGGTAGTGAAATGTTAATGAAATAACATCATCCTCCATCGGCTCACTCTCGTCCACAGCCGACGAACGCGAGAGGGAAAACCCCTCTTCAAACTCATCGGCCAGATCCACCTGCAATCCCCACGAGCTCATTCTCCTTCGTGCCTCAGCAGCGGCGGGTCCTGAATCGTGGAAAGCAGATGGCTGCCCCTCTTTCCTCGAAAAGAGAGACAAACGAGAGTGGAGCTTTTTTCCTTGAAAAAAACGCTCGCAGTGCACGCCGATTGCCTCCTCGGAGGCATCGTGTGCGTGCTCTTCGCCTAGATCGCGTGTGTCATCAGATGTTAAACAACAACAACACGGATGCACACATCCTCTAAATGTTCTGCTAGTGCTCGCCATAATAATAGAATAGAGATCGCTCTTACCACGTTCAAATGCACGCTTCAAATAAAACAGTCAGTGAATACGAAGAAGAGAATGACATGTTATTCCGGCGCCTAATTATACTAATAGTCGCACCGGTAGTGACGTCATGGGCTGTCGCCGGCCAACATGTTGTTGGTGTTTTTTCAATGTATGCTTCAGACACGGGTCACGACGAGGCGTTCCCCATAACGACCCCTAGATGACGCAGTTCGAAGTTCTCTTGAAAGGGAACAAATACACTCAGTTTCCCTTAGCAACTATTAACAGAGTTTATGATATCCGGATATTCAGAGCTTTACACTCTTAAAAATAAAGGTGCTTCACGATGCCATAGAAGAACCTTTTTGTCTAAATGGTTCCATAAAGAACCTTTAACATCTGAAGAACCTTTATGTTTCACAAAAGGTTCTTTGTGGCGAAATAAGATTCTTCAGATTACAAAAAGGTAAGAAAGAGATGGTTCTTTAAAGAACCTTTGACTGAATGGTTCTTTGTGGAACTGTGTAGCTATGAATTTACAGAGCACTCATAATGTCTCTCTGTGTGTGTTTGCCTTGGCACTTTTATTGCCCTGGGTTGGTGTGTCAGAAAAGACTGTTAAACAGTTTGTGTCTCCAATCGCTGTGCCTGAGTGCACACAAGAGACCAACCAAAGGGTGTGATCTGGCATTGAATGTGCTGTAAAAGATGAAAGTGTGTGCTTTTTGGCAGTGGTTTAAAATGACATGATGACAGCTTCTTAGGGTACTCATAATATTGTCTATGTGGTCTGCTCAGACAAAAAGCTCCTGGACCACATGTGAGAATCCACCAACACGCCATTTTATTCAGTAAATAAATTCAGTCTTTGGAACCAAAAATGGTTCTTCTATGGCATTGCTTGAAGAACCTTTTGAAGCACCTTTATTTTTAAGAGTGTAGCTATGAATTTACAGAGCACTCATAATGTCTCTCTGTGTGTGTTTGCCTTGGCACTTTTATTGCCCTGGGTTGGTGTGTCAGAAAAGACTGTTAAACAGTTTGTGTCTCCAATTGCTGTGCCTGAGTGCACACAAGAGACCAACCAAAGGGTGTGATCTGGCATTGAATGTGCTGTAAAAGATGAAAGTGTGTGCTTTTTGGCAGTGGTTTAAAATGACATGATGACAGATTCTTAGGGTACTCATAATATTGTCTATGTGGTCTGCTCAGACAAAAAGCTCCTGGACCACATGTGAGAATCCACCAACACACCATTTTATTCAGTAAATAAATTCAGTCTCCAAAATGAACCTTTAGCAGTAGCTTACCATTATTAATCGCAAAGAACTGAGACACTTCGGGACAGGAGACGTTGACAACCTGTCCGACCTCTGCCCTGTACCAGCACCAAAAGTCATCCCACTCAGTACGACACCCTGAGATACACAGAAACAAATAAATAACTATTAAACAGACACATCAAATATTTGTCAAAGCATAATTACCTTAAAATTGTTCTGGAAGATGTTTTAGTTATTATGAGAACGCTAGCTAGATAAATACAGATAGATAGATAGATAGATAGATAGATAGATAGATAGATAGATAGATAGATAGATAGATAGATAGACTCTCATGCACAGAATTGATAAAAAGGTTTAGATAAGCTACAGTCTTCACGGGTGAGCATCTGTTTGAGGAATATAAGAGAACTGTGGAAACCTTAGCTGGATGAACGAAGATGACTTTGAGCATAATGAGAGCCACAGGGATCATATTTGGTCATGACTACATAAATATGACTGCGACAACTTAGCAACAGATCTTATTTCTGCTGCTCGCAGATCTACATCCTCAGTATATTATACATATGTACATTGCTGTTGTTATTGTTAACTAAACCTGTACCTATTAAATATTGTTTCCATTATTTCAAACAAAGCTGAAATAAAATAAATATAAATATTACATTAAAACAACAACAACAACAAAATGTTGCCTTGGCAACTAACTGAAATATATCCAGTTTATTTACTAAAATCAATAAAACAAAAACTGAATTAAAAATAAATTAGCTGAAATTTCTGAATTTATTGGCTTAATGAAATATTTTTAAACAAAATAAAACTATTAAAACAAACTAAAAAAATACTAATTTTAAATATTAATACATTCTAAAATAGTATATAAATGACACTGAAATAGCCCTAACACCGACATACTGTATAAACACTGACAGACTTAAACTAAATAGGTATTTAATTGAAGAACAGATTCATCCTCATTTAAAAACTGTTGCTGACTCCCAGCAGTTCCACAATAATGTATATAAAGATTCCTGACAGAACTAAAGCCTGCTTCAGGTTTCCAAAGCATTTTCTGATTTAAACCAACTCTATCCACGCTTCTCCCAAACCTCTGTTCTGGAAGTGTGTACACTGTGTAAGTACAAATTCACTTGTAAAGCTATCCAGTGATTTCCACTCACTTAATTGTAGGGGGCTCCAAAATCACAAACACACACAAAATAGAGTTGCTTTTAAAAGATTTTCTAATTTCAGTCTATTCTATTTTTACTCACTTGCCTCTTACAACTACTTATCTCTCTTTACTATATTCTCACTTTATGCATATAACAATAATAATAATGATAAGTTATTAAAATTATTTATTCATTGATTACATCCAAGTAGACCACAACAACACTTGCCATTAACACCAGCCTTTGCAGTAATGGAGAAATATTTGCGAGAGAGATACGACTCAGCATATAGAGAGCTGGAAATCATAGAGAGAGCTGGAAAAGTATATGAGAACGAGTGTGAAACTCTCTGGCACACACAGAAATTTATGGAAGTTTGGGCTGGTCCCCACAGGAATGAGAAAAACTTTGAAGGCCTGATGCCACCTCATTAATGTAAGCATTATTCAAAGCACTACTGGAGAAAAAAAAAAAAAAGCTATGCATTTATTTTTTATGGCCAGGCCATCTGACTGCCTGTGTTGTCTTTGACAGGACAAGCAGAGATTTATCAAATAGGATTCATGAAATATAAACCTTTTACTTAGACTTTTTGAGTACAATTGTAAAATGATTAAGTGTTTTTTTTTTAAAAGCACATCTTCAATTTATATGTTGCAGAACATTCTGGGCATCTATACTGTATATCTGAAGCTCTAACAGCTATGGATTGGATACATTAATGTCATCAATGTAACTGAATCAATCTTAACCCTGTGGCAGAACTGCAAATCAAAATAATCGCACACATAATTCAACCAAATTCGCTAACTGCTTTAGGCTTAGAACTTAGTGACTGATAATGGCATGGAGCTCTCAGTAGTTCATTTCACTGAAATACGGCTAAATGGCTGTGCCTTCTATCGATGTGTATTCATTCAGTGAATTGACACGGACTCTAAGTAAAAACGTAATGCATTATAACTAATATGATATTATGTATTGATCCTGATATGAAATATGTTATTTTCCATGAACTCTCATATTCACTTTAATGTGATTCATAACTATTTATCATAAATCTCTCAGTTTTTTCTGTCTTTCATTCTCTTCCTCCAGTATCTTTTATAACTGCATTTGTTTTTAGGGACCCTTTATTTTATTATAAATAACGTATTAGGTTACTATAAATATGTACCAGCATGCCATGATCTAACACCAAACATCTAATTCACCACTTAAATCCTAATAATAATACCCTAAAACAACAAAGCACATTAAAAATATTCCAACAATTCCAGTCCTGCTTGTTCACTGTCAGTTAAAGATAGATATTGCAGTTACAGTTTTATTGTTATGATCATTTTGAAATTAGTATTAAAAAAACAATCAAAAAGTATTCCCAATTGCTTTCAACAGCTTGACAGAAGGATCATGAACATGGCCTTCTATTCGATATTGATAACATAAATACCCATTTTATTTTCACCATAGACAATGACACCTCTCCAAGCGAGATGCATTGTGTAATGTGGCATACAAGATGCAAGATGTAAAAGCTATCAGGATGAATAGAATCTAAGGGCTCCTCAATCCCTTCCTGTAGATCTTGACATGTTATAAATAACAGAATTATGGTCATTGATTATTTTTTTTATTGCTTAATCTGTTGAGGGGCAGAAAGGTCCACACAATGGAGGACATATGTGATATCTGATTATCACTGATATTACAGTTACCTGAACTGGTCTTTCTATTTAGTTTTTCTCTCTACCATTTTCATGGTATAATTTTCTCATTATTTTATTATATCCTATTATTCTCCATAGACAGTAATTTCATGCAGCGAAACATGCTGTACTGAACACCCACCTGATTGGCTGACCATTAAAAAGTGGTCATAAGTCCTGGCATGCCTCTTTCCTCTCTAACTTAGTGTCAAGCCTAGGCTGCTCTGTAATACATCAAAAGAGGGACATGGTGCCTGCCCTCCGTAAAATCAGTGTTAATTAAAGTCTTTGTGGATCAACAAGCAGAGCAACATGGGTTTCCATTAAGAACTCAAGGGCAGAACTTACACCTGCACTGATTCCGGTACGGACTTGTAAAAACCTCATTATGTCTAAACCACACTTGCCAATGCTCTAAAAACTCAGTCAAGGTGGAAACGAGACACAATAAAGCCATACTAGCCCAAGGAGGTCTAATACCTGGAGAAAGCTCTCTGTTAGCATTCTCATTTATCTCAATCCTGGCTCAGTTCTCCAGCCTGCTTACTTTAAGGCACTCACCTGAGGCATGAATGTGATAAATTACTCTAAAGTTAAAGGAAATTATGTCATGCCAATGCTAATGCTGACGGCACAGCAAGAAAGTGCTCAGTCTGGCAAGAGACAGGGAAAATATCCAAAAAGTCCATTCTACACTTTTTATAGCCCTCTAAAACAAGTTGTGTACTTAAGAAATAATAATATTAAATAAAATATATCAAATGAAAAAAAGAGCAATTTAGATATTTGTTAAAAAAATTAAATAATTTATTTAATCAAAATACACAGATATGTTGAATGACCATCAACGGAAAATACACTTTTTACACTTTTTAGAGAAATAAATATATACAGTATATACAAAAACAAAGTTTGGTATAAGGCTGCATTTATTTGAAATGCAATACAAACAGTCGTATTTAAAATTAGAATATATTTTAAAATGTATTTTTTTCCTGCGATGGGCCTGGCAAAGATCAAATGAAAAAAAGAGCAATTTAGATATTTGTTAAAAAAATTAAATAATTTATTTAATCAAAATACACAGATATGTTGAATGACCATCAACGGAAAATACACTTTTTACACTTTTTAGAGAAATAAATATATACAGTATATACAAAAACAAAGTTTGGTATAAGGCTGCATTTATTTGAAATGCAATACAAACAGTCGTATTTAAAATTAGAATATATTTTAAAATGTATTTTTTTCCTGCGATGGGCCTGGCAAAGCCATTACTCCAGTCTTCAGTGTCACATAATACTTCAGAAATCATTCTAATGTGCTGATTCGGTGCTCAGCTATTATCAGTTATTATCAATTATTATTAATAAGGGGTGTAAACAGCAACCTTGCATCATGCCCATATAATTTACTTCCGAGATCATACATTTCAGCTTATTGAGTGCGTATTATCTTAGGACACTCGTTATGTTTTGCATTCTACATTTTTAAATGGTGTTTGCTCCACTAACTTGAAATAAAAAATGTATTTGTCTCATCAACATTTGTCATGCCCACAGTGGCTGCTTTCTCATTTGTACACTTTTACTTGCAGGTATGAAACAGCGCTTGAGTCACCTCTTACTCTGCCAAAAAGAGTCTCATGAGAAACTAAAAGATACATGGTTGAGATTTCTGAAATATTATTTTGCTGCATTACAAAGACAGATCCTCTTTTATTTTTATTTACTGGAAAATTACTGGAAAAGCATTCCCTATGCAGGAGCATCGATTTTCAGTGTAATTCATAATCCCTTGTATGAGTTTCAATTCTGCTCAAAGTCTACACAATTACTCAAAGCATACAAATACAACATGCAGCTAATATGAGGAATTATAAGGTTTTAGTGCAATAAGTTACTGTCATTCTCAAATCCTTCCAGAGTTTGAAGGCACCTAAGGTGAAAAGGGTTTCATTTATGTTTAATAAAAAAATCTGATTATTAAACAGCAATGAATATTCATGTGCTTCAGCTTTCATGCTGCTGTGATGTGTGTTTAAGATTTGAGAGCATTTGGGTGCTCTCCAAACCTGTCTATAGATATAATTTCATTAGCTTACTAAAGGTGGTACAGAGGTCACCATTGAATTCATGGAAAACAATATACTACTCTGGGGAAGTCTTCAAGGAAGTCCATATGGAGCAACTCATATGTTAACAAAGTGGTGAAAAGGCCTCAGTTCAGAAATGGAATACATATTCCTTGTACTCTTTTGTTCAACAGTTTTGTTCAACAATGGGTGGTTCAAAGAATCAAGAGGTCCATTTAATATAAGGTTTTACATGGGCATTTTCATACAAAGATCCTGCCTTTTTGGGTATTAAGATGTCATCTCCTTTTAAATTGGAGAGGACTGAGATGACTTTCACCAAGGTTGTGTCTTATAGAGGATAAAACAACAATTCCTCAAATTAGAATTAATCATTTCTCCACTGTTAATTATAGGGACATTTATAGGGAAAGTGTTATTAAATGTGAATTGAAAATCCAAACATTTAGAAACTTGGAAGAACTTTGTTGAGAATATTAATTTAAAAATTGTACTGCATTTTATTTCAATCCATCCATCCATCCAGTTTATTTATACTGTTATTTGTCTAACTTTGTAAAAATGGTATTGTATTTTATGTGTCTAACATTACTATACTACACACACACACACACACACACACACACACACATATATATATATATATATATATATATATATAGATATAATTGTTTTCTTTATTTTTTTCTTTATACATAAAGTGTTTTACAGATTATATATAAAAACAAGACAAATAATCAATCTCCCTCAAAACAAATATTATGTTTAATGCATCTTAAAACCTTAGTGAACAGAATCATGCCTTAAACATTATGATTCATTATCCTTTGATCACTGACAATAAAAAGTCACAAAGTCACAATGCAAGGAGTTGTATTGATCCTCACCCTTCATCAGCAGCCAGAATCGAACAGCTTCTGTTTGAATAACTGCCTTTAATCTCCTAAATCTCTACACATGATTGCATCCTTTAAATACATTGCCTGACCTGGCCTATATAGGAAAGTGTAATGCTTAAAACTGTAAACCTAGTTTTCAGCCCGCCAGTCAATCATAAATCTTCTCAGTCTGAGATTCATGCTCATCATGAATATCTCGAAAAATCACATTCATCTCAACAAATGTCCTATTACCAATCAGCAAATGAGTAGACATTAAGGACATAAAAAGATGTAAAGTAGTAAGGATTATATTAAATCAGACGGGTGAGCTCACCGGTGATATTGTTGCTGTTGCGGGCCTCTTGTCTTTGAGTGTGAATGCATTGCTCTCGAGCCCTCATATGCTCAGCCACCACAGCACATTCTGGATTAATCGTTTCCACCTGATGATGTTTAAAATGAAATGAAATTACAAACTGCAGCACATAGTAAGAACCTGCATAAAAATGCTGAGCCCATTAGAAAAAGCTAATTAAAGATTTCACAATTTCAGTCACTTGCCATTAAGTCAAAATGACAATCAGGAACAATTATGACATTTCGAATATTATTTGCTAACAGCTTGAACATTCATTTAACTAGATTTGTGTTCCACAGAAGAAAGATCACATGGGTTTTGAAAAGGTAAAATGGTGCTGAATAGTTATTTTGGGGGTTAACACATTCAAATACACTGTATATCTATTTACAGGATCTAAATATTTATCATATTGAGACTATTGAAACCCTAGCCACACAGCAAAATTGGTCTGTAAAGTCTCATTATCTCTACCAATTTGAGCCTCTCTTGCCATCATTTCCTAGAATTAAATGTATTAGAGATAGAAAGAGCAATAAAGAGGGAATAAACATATAACAAAATGTGTGGGATGCTCATCGACAACATAAAAAGGAAAAGTTGCTTCTGTTTCACCTCTTTGCTGCATAAAAATACCTGTAATGCCTGCCCACTTATTCCTGAGAGGAATGAGAGAGAGTCAGAGGTGGGTGAATGCTAATGATCCGATTAAGCCTGAGGTTACGGTGGAATGAGCAGTAGAAACAAGTCAAGTCAAGTCACCTTTATTTATATAGCACTTTTAACAATACAGATTGTGTCAAAGCAACTGAACAGCATTAATTAGGAAAATGGTGTCAATAATGCAAAATGACAATAGTAAACACTCATTTTTCAGTTAAAGACAGTTCATCATTAAATTCAGTGATGTCAACATCCAGCTCAGTTTAAATAATATCTTTGCAATCATGTCAACGATAACGCTGGAAATGAAGTGTCCCCAACTAAGCAAGCCAGAGGCGACAGATTCAGAAGTTCCTGAAACAGACCTACGTACCTCCAAAGGAAAACAGAAATGGTGAATCATAACAATACTAGAAAAAAGTGAATTGTTGTATTTATTCTAGAGGGACACATAAGAGGTCTGTGTGTCATATCATGTAACTTGAATAAATAGTATGACGTCAGCATGGAAATCAAGGATAAACATTCCAGCGATGTTCATTATTATGGATGACATTGGTGAAGGATGCGTTTATGTCCCCTTCACTGAGCTAATAGGCAGAAATCTGAATCTTCAGGGCAGACAACTGATTTCAAATACCTAGCCTAAAACACCTAAAACAACTCTAATAAAGCAGAAACTAATAATTTAAATAATAACTGGGTGCTCTTAACCCGCCGTATTTTAAAGAATGTTACTGATTGACACTTTGAATGGACAAATATCCATGGCTGTGCATGTATCTGTGCACCACCAAAACACTGCTGTGGTGATATCTCCACCGATTATATTATATAGATTTTTCTATATAACCTCTAACCAATGTACACAATGTAAAAATGTAAAATTTTGATTAATGTACATTGTAATAGTACATTTATTCAACAATGAATGAGATGTAAAAATCTAAGTAATCCATTCGACTCTTGCAAAATATAAGTCATTAGAAGGCACACTGAACATACATTCAAACTTGTCAAAGTGGCCCAGTTGGTCACAAGATATATGAGAGTCAATGGAGTTTGATGTTATTAACATCAAACCTGGTGGCAGGTTTTGAGTCTGTGAATGAGATTTGAACATTATATCAGAAAAGGAACCTTTCATATGGCTTTGTAATGTTTGGAATGCAGTATGGACACATTCGTATGGACTTTTTATAGAGCTTTTGTTATTTTGGATCCTTTTGTGTTCAGTGGACGACAGAAGACTGGGTTTCAACCAACAAGAAGGTAAGTAAATGATAAACCCTAAAAGTTTATTGTTGGCTAATCATAAACCCAATAAAAAAAGGGAAATAAATCAAGTAAAACTGGACTTTTGGTAGTTAGGGAATAAGATGCAGGTTTTTGCATTGAAACACCACACAGTAAAGTGACAACTGTTTAGTCAATTCTTGATAAACCCTAAAAGTTTATTGTTGGCTAATCATAAACCCAATAAAAAAAGGGAAATAAATCGATTACTCCGAAATGAGCTGAATATGGCACCATTTTTGGTTATACAAGATAAAATAGCTACAGAATGAGATTTGTTTAGATGTATTGCTCAGATACAACCAGAAAGTTATCATTTGAATGTTTACAATTTAAAATAATATTTTTGATTTGCATTCTATAAAAATATCATTTGGGTAAAAATAGTACTTGGTAAAACTGGACTTTTGGTAGTTAGGGAATAAGATGCAGGTTTTTGCATTGAAACACCACACAGTAAAGTGACAACTGTTTAGTCAACTCATAAGAGTTCATTTCATTTTAAAACAGATGTACATTGTGTCTTCAAGTTTGCATTTGTGTTTGAGTATCTATAACGAGTATGTATATTCAAAAGATTGATGGAGATTTGTGTGGGAAAATTAGGCAAGACCAACTGCTGCAGTTATTTAAAAATGTTACACCGCTGAATGCATAATGACCTCTTTTCTTATATTTACGTTGCATGTAATCAGCATATTAAACCCAACCAGAGACTACAAATCTCCCTGGCATTTTCTCAAGCCAAGGCCAAGGCTCAACTTGGACATATAAAAACTGTGAGGGGAATAGTGATGAGAAAAGACCTTGATGCATCACGCCAACAAATTTAATTTGAGCCACAGAACTTAGAGTTGCATTCAGAGTCACCAGGGTGGGTGAGAGAGAAGAAAAGTGCAGAGAGAAAAAAAACAGTTGTATCCCACTAGCACTGGTGACACACCTGGACAATAAAGCACTTGGTTTCAATTAAACAATCCACGGGATTTGACTGCTCCCATGTGGCACTAAAGGTCCCCAAAAGGTCAAGTCTCCTATCTCAGCAAAACCAATTATGGCACATCTGCTGATAAAGGGTTTTCAAGGCCACTTTCATATGTCTCCCCACAAATTTGCAATTTATAAAATGTATAATTGGCCCAAAAATGATACAGCAGTGTACTAAAAATCATTTTATGGCTACATATCTAAATATCTCAAACAGATAAGTAAATAGACACCTGTTGTCTTGAATTACTCTAACCTGAAATGCTCTGGTGACCTGATCAGAAAGGTTAGGTCAAATGAAGAAGAAAAATAACTGACTGATAAGGATCCTATTATTAGTCAGATAGCATCCAGTGGCCCTGAGGAAGAGGCTCATGAACACATGGAATCATTATTATAGGAAATGAACCTCCATTCAGGAAAGGAAAGCCATATCATTAGATGGAGTACCAAACAACAACTACATTTAATTACAACATTGATTTGTGCTCTTCTTGTGGAGCCTGTGCTCCTCAGAAATTGGAATGCTGATCCACCTTTGCATTTGCTTAACACAAAGGTTTGGTAAACCTAGATAGAGTTTGTATGGAGGCCAGTTATTCACATGAATTGCACGCTTAATTTTCATGACAGGAACCTAATTTTGCTGCTCAGGTTAAATCATGACAGTGTTCCTGTACTGGAAATGGTCATCAAAACATCATTAAAAGGAGGCCAGGATCTCAGGTCAGTACCGCTAATCAGCACATTAAATATAGCACTGGACTGATCCCTAGAGGACACAGTGGCAATCAAACGGCATTGATTATACTTCATCTACATCATTAGCTTAGTATGATGCCTTTTAAATTATTTTTTTGCTGATATCTGTGTTTATTCTCTCTCATGAGCATCTCACCTCAATCTGGAGGCAGTGCTATTATGACAACTTTTAACTGCGATTTGTCTCTTAAACAGCATACACTATACATTTTCTAAGTCAGTGGTGCAGTGCAATGCCTTTTAAAATAAATATGTAAATCTCTCTCAAGAAAACCACGCCTGAATCTGGATGAAAATGTTAAAACACTTTGATGTCAGGGCCATTATAAAACACTTTTAACTTGTATGATGTGTCATTCAAACAGCAAATATCTCTCATGGAAATCTCACCTGATTCTGGAAGCAAATGCTAATATTTGCAATGAAATGCTTTAGGAAGTCAACATATTCCTTTGGTTTGTAATGCTATACTCAATTATAAACAGTATTTGTTAATTATTTCATAGTTATGTATGTAGTGTAACTATGATACCATATAGATATTTGTACTTTTAAAAATGAATTTGTCATACAAAAGATTATAAAAAATAGTGATAATGTTGACTGCTTAGATTGTAACATTAAATACATGAATATATATTTTAACCTACAATGCATTTAATTTAAATAAGTAAATAAATAATCAATCAATCCATGGACATGTTCTACAACTAGCCTAACACATTTTTATTTCAGGGACATTATAAAACTTATAACCTTTATCATTCCACTTCTTACATCATGAAGTATTTTTATATATTTTTTCCCATCCTACAGCCCACAACAGTAGCCACTGGCTACACTGCAAATGATCAGAAAATCCTAAAACTCGTGACAGAAATCATGAAAATAATAAATGTTAAGAGCATAGGATCTCACATAGATAACTTACTGCTTTCCAAGTGCTCTGCTGAATCCCCAAACTCAGTAAGACGGCGACCAGTCTTACAGTTGACCAGGTTTTGAAGAGAAACATAATTAAGACTCCGGTATAATAGGAAAGAATGAAGCTTGTTAGTGTATAACCAAATAACGCAGGAGCCTCTGTTAGATCTTTGGATTTTTTCCAGAAGTCTCGATGTCTCCAACCATACTGCTCGCTGCCGTTCGGCACAAATGCTCAGTCCTACATAATGTCTTCTGAAGCTCGTAATATTTGTAATTGAATCATGTGTCTCTTCCTCATAACAGACCGTAAACAACCTGTAGCTGTGAGTTCCCAGCACACCCTGGGCAGGAGAGTGGCGCGCGGAGAAATGAAGGCACGGTGCGCCTCCCCTTTACGCACAAAATGCCAGTGACTTCACTCATTAGATAAACTCTGATTTCAGTTCATGTGATTATTAAAACTGTTTGAGAAAAATCAAACAAAATAGCCAAACTGGTCGCGAGAGAATGGGACACGCGTAGAGGCTTACAGTTAAATTCGTGAACTCCTAAAATACAAAAAAAATTAAATATTATTGTTTATATTATTAAATTATTAATTAAGCAAGTTTCTAATGGTTTTCCAGCTCCTATCATTTAGGCTAATGCTGCTAAACATGCTGTACAGACATAAACGTTAACCATTTGTTTTGATAACTTTATAATAAAAAAGGTGGAGAAATATCTTTATATAGGCCTATGCATAATACTTTTTTTCAACAATCACTAGGACCCATTTCTCAACACTTAGGTCTTAAGTCACTGTATCAAAACTATTACACGCTTACCATCTTTCTGGGCACAGCAGTAAATTTCACTTCCAGAAGCTATTAAAACTTCTAAAACACTTCAAACATGTCTAAGATTACTATTATCTAAATTCATGAACAGCATGAAGAGTGACCAAATGAGAGCACAAATTCATAACAAAAGCTCAGGTTGGATCTTTTTTGTATTGTGAGGAGGAACAAGAAAGATGAAAGATGAGCCCTTCACCTTATCTCAGTAATTGGTCAGTTAATTATATAATATCATATTGTGATAAATTATGCATGCCTCTCACAGTTTTATTACTAATGATGGTCCCTGTTTTCCCTCCGTACCCAAATTATATTTCTTTTCAGTTATCAGGTCTTTTTATTGCCCGCATTTAGGTTTTTTAAATTTCATTGTCTGAACTGTGATTTTCTTATTTGAATGGTCATTCTTCATATTTAATGAACAACAGGGACTATTACAATTAAACTTATGGTCACAATTGAGCATCTGTGTTGCTTAGGCTGTCCCTTAGTGAAAATACAATTTGCATATGTATTTGATGTTTTTATCCGCCTAGGGAAAATATTTTCTTAGCTGGACAGCAGACCCCCATTGCTTCCAGCTGCCTTGTCATGCTGAGAGAAGGAATGAGAGAATTAGTTTTATGGACAGATCGTCATAAAAATTCATTTCCACGACAGCTGTCTTCAAAAGAAACCTGATTTAAACATACTGACCAATAAGACTGTGTGGTAAGCAATCAATTTCTATACTATTCCATAGAAAAACAGAGCATTTTTCTACTTCTCAATCTCTTTCCCACTTTCACTCTTTTGTTCTCTATATAGCAAACAACAAAAACATCTCACTCAGAAGAAGAGAAAAAAAATTCTGAGTCATCAGACGATTCCATAAAAACACAAATGTACTGACATTTCAAAAAATGTAGAGGAATGAAAAAATATGTTTTTTGGGGACGCTGAATTAGTTTTAATACATTATAGTATACCCTAAATTCCAATTCAGCAAATGAAAGAAAATAATAGGAATTGTACATCATATTTTGAAAATAGATGCATAATATATATA